CTAGAAAGGCATTATCTTTATAGATGAAAGTTTATTATCAGTAATGTTTTTGTTTTAAGTTATGACTTATCACAAAAATTGCAGAAGTGTGTCCACTTGGCAGAAGGTATTCTTTAGACTCTGTTGACAATACCTTTAGGGGATCAGATCCAGTTCTGGGGTTTTCCTCAAACTCTGATCAAGACTAAAAGGAAGAGCCTGCTACTGGTTAACTGGCTTCCCCTTTGAGAGACATAGTCTTCTAATTTTTGGTTCTAGACAAAGTCTTTCTTTAGAAGGTTGCTAATAGAGAAAATGTGCTTAACCCAAGATGTTCCATGTTCTTTGGCCTTCCACATTCTTAGCCAGATCTGTAGAGATTTAGATTTATCCTTCACATTTTAGAAACAACATCTGAAATATCTGCAATAAGAGACAGAATGTTAGGGCAAATACTACCTTTTCCCACCTGCCTACTCTGATGTACGAGAAAGAACAATAAACTACAGAGCATTTTGCATTTGATGAGACTATTCAAGTAATTAAATGGGATATTGTATGCAAAAGTATGCCCAGAATAGATTTCAGATAAATATTTTCCCCTGAATCTTTGCAGTATGCTTCCAGAAAAGAGTAGAGAGCAAGAGTGGGTGGGGAATGGTTCTGAGGATTGTATTCCACAGTTTTCTTATGATCTGGCAAAATATGTTCTGTGTGTTGAGAAAACATGTACTTCTGTTAGGTATGACTTCCTATCCCACCCAGCATAAAAATTTTCCTCCACTTTTCCATATTCCTAATGATTTTAATTGCCTTTTTCCCCTTGTTTACTTTTTTTGTTAAGGGTAGGGTATGGAATCTTGCATGAAATATTTTCTGGTACTTCACACCTCTCTAACAGGTGCTACTTGTATATGTACTGCTAATATATTACTGCCTTTTTTTTTTTTTAATCAATGCTTTCTACAAAAAGAGGAGCAGAAATATCATACTCTCAGTAACAAAAGTTACCAGGTATGTTCAGAAATATCTTACAAAGTATATCAGCTCCATTTTTTAAAGAATTATTTTATTTAACTTTATGTATTCATGTATTTATTTTAATTTGACCAGAGAGGGACAGAGAAAGAGTAAGGGAGAAAGCAAGCCACCAGGTCTAGGACTTGAACCGCGGTCAGCCATGTGGAAGTCCAGTACCCTTAACCACCATGCCATCTGCCGGCCCCTATCAGCTCCATTTTCCCTCATTGCTTTGTTTTTATTTCCCTGGAACACTGTAGGTGCTCGGTAAATACTTGCCTTCCGACAGTGGCATGTTGGTTGATGCTGCTACACAGCAGGAGGCTCAGGCCACTTGGGAGGCCAGGTTCAATTCTCTGCCCATCCCAATAGCTGCTTGTGGTGGTAGGCAGTGTCTGACAGATAGTATGTACTCAAATATACTGAGAGTTTTCAAAAATGAATTATAGATCCCATTTTTTAAGCACAGACATTAATAATTTTGAGGAAAAATATTCTAGGCTATTATGTTATCTATACCTCAGTGTAATTTATGTACAAATACAGCTAAAAAGGTCCAAAAGAATCAGAATAGGTGGGAATCAGGACACCTGGTCTCTAGTTCTAGAACTGCCCTAAACATACTCTGTGATTCTGAGTAAGATTTTTAGGCCTAGATGTTCACATTTATTATGACAAATGACATTATTGACTAGATTAGAGGTTCTTAGCCTCAGTTGTAGGGCTACTTAGCAGCCCATGGCGAGCTTCAGAGAATCTGTGCATCTTTTATTATTGTATGCATAATTTCTAGGCCATGTGACTGTGGGTACACTATTTTTTTTTTTCCCCAGATGAGAGAAAGGTCTGTGAAACTGAAATGGAATGGATGTCCTTGAAGTTTCTTTCAGTCCTAACTTCATGAGTCTGAAAAGGGATGACAGGAGACAGCCTGATGCTACTGTGCTCAGCTAAAAGGAAGCCTCAGTTCTGCCATGTCCTGAGCCAGTTAATCCTTTCCTCTTACTTTGGTCTTCATTAGCTGTAAAATGAAGGCATCCAATCCCAAAGAATACTCTCCCCTTCTATATGCAATTCAACCAAGCCAGACCAAAACAAAACAAAAATGGAGGAAAAAAAAAAAAAAAACCACCCTGGTAGAAAGATTGGGAATTTGAAATGAGTTTTCAGAATCTCAGAGCTGCCAATGTTCTAAGAGCACTTTGAGAAGTAAGAGAGGATGGGAGGTGGTTCCTTCATAAGCCTCTAGTTGAGGGACTTAGTGACCATTTGAAATAAGGAAGATTAAGTCTTAAGGGTAATTTCATAGGTACACCAGGAGAGACTTAGGATTTGATACCTTAAATGTTTACTCTCATAAATCCTGAAACAAATGTTTATAAATGATATTTTCATAGCACTGAATAATCTTGTGAAGGGTTAAATGGATATGCATAGTCCCCTTTCAGTCTCCTTGCCTCTTAAGACTCTAGCATTTTTGCTACTGAGAAATTTAATTTATCACAACATGCATAATTTTAAGTTGTTCTACTCTTCTACCTCATTCCCTGTCCCTCTTTTCCTTGCTATTTTTCTCTTCATAAGTTTGTCCTGTTTGCTTTGGAAAAGAAGTCTACCAGCAGATTCTAAGACCATTCATACTATTAACAGGAAGCTGCTCTATCTCCTTCCCCAGTTACTGTGTGGGCCTGAAGACAGGTGGAAGGTTAACGTTGATCCCAATAACCCCACAGTCTTTGGTTCAGCACCTACTTCATGTCAGGCCCAATGCTAAACACTCAAAGTCAAATTAGACTCATTTCCTATTCTACTGTCTCAGAGTCAGCACCAAACAGAGTCTGATAGCCTTTCCTAGGGATTTCCACCAGAATCCACTGGTTTGGTGTTTTGTTCCTCCCTCCTTGGACATAAAGGGGGGAAGAGATGTTATCATGGGGAGGAAAGTATCTTTTTCCCCAGTAAACAAGTTGTCTTCATTATTCTCATGGGGCAATGGGACTGAATGGGGCATTTTTTCACAGCCTGGTCCAAAGTTGCCTGTGCCTCGAGGGTCCATTAGGCTGCAGGTCACAGCAGCTGGAGCCCAGGCGCCCAGAGCCGGTCACGCGTCTGTGCTGCCCGCTCCAGGATGTACAATGGAGTCATTGACTATTTATTTACTTCATAACAACAAGGCTGCTGTTGACTTAATTACAGGAGCCTCCCAGCCACCTCCCCTAGCGCCAGGATCTTTATGACTAAGGGACTCTCCATTGCCATTAAATTATCTCTCCTTAACTAAGTCCTCAGCCTCCCTTCCCAGGCGGGCTCAGTAGGCATGTGGAAGGGCATGGAGAGCCAGGGGTGGCGACCAAGAGAGTAGAGACTAGTGGGTTTGGCAGGACTAAGTTTCTAATGTGTTTTAGATCTGGGCTGAGTCAGGCTCTAGTTCAGCTTTTTTTTTCACTGCTAGGCTGGGGTCCAGTGAGAGCATAACTGCAGGAGGGTTGCTGGAAAGGAGGCAGCCAACGCACCAACTACTCCTCTCTGGTCCTGAGGAACACAGAGCCTCCCTACTTCTGTGCTTTCGCAACAGATAGGACTGCTGCAGGGCTTGGGGCCTAGTCTGAGACTCTGCAGAGCTGCAGGATTCCTCTGTCCCCTTCCTTATACAATATGAAAATTGTCTGGGGGGGGGGGTTGGCCAGCGCGCCAGGCTTGTTCTCACTCAGCCTCATTTAAACCCCCTCTAATCACAGCTCTTCAACTTCCTCTGGGAACAACCACTAAGTTTCTGCTCCAGTTCATATTGTAGGGCGGAGAATAAAATAGCAACGGTATTGTATAGATGTTGACATATTTGAAATCTGGGGTTGTTTGCAGAAGTTAATCGTTTCCACCAAGAAGCTCTGGGACCCTGGTGTGTTCCTGGTCCTTGTCATTGGCCCCACCTTGTAACCAGGAAATCCCAGGGATTCGGGCATCCCTCTCAATCTCTGGCCTTTTAAAAAGTCCTCCTGAGAACTCAAGTGGCAGCCAGACTGGGGCTGCTCCACAAGCTCCTTTCTCCAACCATTGAATAAGCAGGTTCAAGTTCTGCACCCAAACCAAATCTCAAATCCAGCTCCTATCTCCAATTGAGAGAGAGTTCAGGGGCTTAGGGTGGGTGGGGAGAGAGGAAAAAGGTGTCTGCTATGAAGGTACCAGACATGCATAGGATAACACGCCGACCCCGACAGTCAGGAAAAAAACCTTTCTAGGCATCTGTTCTCTGTAACAGAGGTAGGGAGCGGAGCGAAGTAGCTCTCAGACTCTAAGCAGGTGCCGGCAGCGCTGCGCGAGACCATTTGTGTGCACTGTGGTGGGGTGAGAGGGGAAGCAGATCAAGATCTTTCCCGCAAACCTCAAAGGGGAATAGGAGGAGTTGGACTAAGAGGGTCACTCTGGAGACTACCAGCTGCCTCCTAAATCTTAGCAACGACGTTTCTGTGCCACGGTTTCGAAGTATAAGAGCCGCCACCCAGAACCAAACATGCTCCAGCTCCCAACACATGTTGTCACCTCCCAGGGCCAAGCAAGTTCCGCGGCAATTCGCACCACTCAGTCCCTGACAGAGCATTTGGGTCCAAGTCTCCTCCATTCCAGGCGGCGGGTGGGCGCGCAGGGGAGGCGAAGTTCTGGCCGGGTATTCATATCGTCCAAGTCTGGAGGCGCCCCAAATTTTCTCACTCTCGCTCTAGCAGTCCAGGGCCAGGCGCTGAGCCAGGGTGAATCGGCAGCCCGGGAGCGTGCAGGGGCCGCGGGGAAAGGAGCGCGGCGCCTTTAAAGCAAGAGGCGAGGAACCCCCGCCAGGAGGCGTGTCTGTCTCCGCCGCTGCCGCCGCGGCGTCCGCTCGCCGGTGAGCCTCCTCG